CTACTGTTGTGCACCGACTGAGCTAATAAAGTCAGGCATATGCCATACAGGGGATCTTTTACATGCATGCCAATGTGTACATGGGACCTTGGTTTTTCATCCCATCCAAACGACTGCCCCACTGACAGGGGGAAACCACCCGGAAAATCCTGAGGAACTTTTTCGGCCAATACCAGGAACAAACCTCCAGGCTAGCGAGCCAGTGTCTTACTCACTTAGCCACCGTGGCTCCAGGCTACTTATTGTTATCTTAGTTCACTCCAATTAGTGATTCATAAAGTATGGTCCTCCACCATCAAGTCAAGCGACTGCTTTTTTTCGACTGAAATATACACTGAAATATTCGACTTGACGAGGTCACAAAAAAACCCTGACTCGTCCAATACCCCCAGCCCCTGACTACAGGCCTATGTAGGATTCTATTCACTTAGATGACGGGCCAAAAACATTACTCTCCGTTTAGTACATGTATCAACTAAATACCTAGATCATAAGACTTTTGCCCGAAAAATCTGACTTTAAAGTAGTTGGGAGGGGCGGGGGGTGAAGCCCCTGGCTACGACCATGATTGGGCTATTCTATATTACCTTAGCTCACTGCCACCGGTACTTAATATTGAGCGACTGGTTTTATCGACTGGGATATTTGACTGTTTTTTCGCCAGGATTATTCAACTGGTTTTGTTGACTAGATTATTTGACTGTTTTTTTTCAACTGGATTATTTGACTGGTTTTGTTGACTGAATTATTCGACTGGTTCTGTCAACTGAATTATTTGACTGATTTTATTGTCGAAAAAAGTCAAATATCCCAGTCAATAAAACTATTTTATTGTGGCCTCATCCAGACGATAAAGCCAGTCAAATATCTCAGTCAATAAAACGAGTCAAATAATTCAGTCGATAAAACCAGTCCGATAAAATAAGTCGAATATCTCAGTCGATAAAATAAGTCCAATACCTCAGTCGATAAAACCATGGACCTTATAATACCATGATAAAACCAGTCGAATATCACAGTCAATAAAACAAGTCGAATATCTCAGTCAATAAAACTAGACGAATATCACTGTCGATAAATCCACATCCCAGATCAAGTTGGGTCTTCATACCAGATCAAGTTGACAAAATGTGCTTTTGACAGTTATATGATGAGAAGTTAAAAACAGCCGTTCAATAATAAGCAGGAATTGCAGTGAACTAAGATAATACCGAGTAGTTCAGTCATACCCATAGCCATAGCTGTAAAAGAGCCGGGGGCTTGCACCTCCCTCCCCTGCCAAATAGTTTCAAGTTCAATTTATGGGGCAAAAGTAGTCTGATAAATAGGTATTTAGGGCCGGGGATAGCCGAAAAAACAGTCAAATAATCCGGTCGAAAAAAAAATCAAGCAGATAATTCAGTCGAATAATCCAGTCGAATAATCCAGTCGCTCAATATGACGAGGAAAAACGTAAAGCTTGACTTTATTAAGCAGTGGTGGCAGTAACTAAGATAACAACATGTAGCCTACTCCTCTATAAATCCCTCCACACGGTTGTTTTTATTCCGAAGCGACTAGATACTATGCTGTCATCAGTTTTATGCATCGGACACAGACTGTGTGTGAGTTAGTTTTATTTAACGTCCGCTTCCACCGAGGTGATATCGCAGACAATTACGTGTTATATGTGCATGGTGATAGTATTTACAACGTGATTAGTGGATTAGTGTGGATTAATTAGGTTTTTTTTTTTTTTTTTTAATTTTAATAGATATATATGTGCAACGAATATACAGAGACGAGACGTGATTTAACAGGTGTAACAAGTGCAAACTGGGACGGTTACAGGCATATGGTAGGACAGACATGGACATGGACGAACATTTACACAGACAGAGACATTTGTATACACACATTTTACAGACATGAAGGTGGACGAACATATATATATATCTATTTTGTTATCTTGGTTGGTCAGGTCGTTCTGTCCGGTCGAATGGCAGGGCGGTGCAACTCTTCCTTGGGGCTTGTTGGTGAGTTTTAGGGCCTGGTCCATTCTTCCTTCCATTTGGATATGTTGTCCGGTTTGGTGGTATTGTTTGTATTTTGTTTCTATGGTTCATTCCTTTGTTGTTGGTTCTCAGAAGGAAGAATCCAGCTCCTGAAAAGAGAGAAGGAAAAAGATAGTATCTGGTCTTACAGTGATATGTGTGACGGTTTCGTCTGGTTAGGCTTCTGGGTGGTGGGGGGGAGGGGGCTAAAAATAATAATAATAGTAAAGAAGATAATAAGAGTAAAACAAAATGAAAGTAAGAGTACTTAGATAAGAATAATAATAGTAGTAATTTACTGTAGAGTAAGATGAATCTGGAAGGTAATAATATTGAATGATGTTAGGGGTATTTAGGTTTTTAATACAATAGTAGTAAAAGAGTTTTAAAAGATACTTATTGAGTCATGGAAGAGACTGAGGCAGTTGTCGATCTTCCATGACTTTCCTATGTACTGTGGTGGTTTTTCTATCCCATAGTAATATTGGGCTGTTTCATATATTAATATTCGTATCATGTCCATTAGATTTTGGTGTTCCGTGTCGTTTAGGTGGATTCCGTCTGTCTGGAGCATCTTTTCCGTAGCCTTTTTCCATTTGTTCGTCTTGTAGGAGTAGGTGCCCCCGTAGTGCAGCATGGGGTGTTCGGCCAGTTTCCTGAGCATGTGCTGATTTAACCTCTCTTGTATACGAATATACTTGAGGGGATCAGCGAAGTATCTGGGTAATAGCCTTGGGTATGAATTTATCCAGATGACAGGTATCATCCCCACTCTACCCTGGATGGCAAGCATGACCTCGATGATGTGGTCAGCGAGTGTTTCAGGGTCAGTGCGGGGTCGAATGTCGTTGCCCCCGATATAGACAAGTGCTATATCTGTGGCTCTGGTTATTTGGCTTACCCTACTTCTGCATTTGGCAACTGTGGCCCCACCTACTCCGTAGTTCTGAATGTTGTGGTGATGGTGGATTGGTTGGTTGGTTTTCCTGGCGTACCTCTGGAGATGCGTCATATACGAAGATCCTGTTAGTGCGACGTTCAATTTACTGGCCATGACGATGAATGATTTGCATTTTTTCGTGAGTTAATTTATACCATCTGTTTGACACCCTGGGCGTGATTGATTTGTGTAAGCTGGGTCTCGGCTGTTTGTTTGTTTGCCAAGACGCTCGGCTTGCCGTAGAGTTTCTGATTGAGAGATGATAAATCGATAATCAGTTGCAGTATTCGTTAATTACTAGTGGTAGTACTAGGGGTAATGAGTTCCGTTTATATAGTCAATCTTTATTAATAGACAATCAGTTACAATATTTGTTAATTACAAGTGGTAAAAATCCGTTATGGCATATATGTTAATCAATATACAATCAATATTTATTTAATCGACATGAAGTAATAAAAAATATGATCTATAAACTAATTTTATTCAAATTTCATAAGGTACAATAATGCATATATGGTTGATTATTTAGATCTACAATCAATGTTTTGTTTAGTCGAATTAAAATAAAGATGATATAATCCATTGAGTTTTCAGGGTATGTAGCGTTTCCCTCGGTGGGGACAGTTTTGCGCCAATACCCTGCTGCCAAGTATTTTTAGAGGTGTAGAATGAATGAGCTTCCTTCGAGAGGACGTTTTTACTCATCATCCTGCTGTGTGATTTTGTGTGAATGTGCTTGGTTAATTAGTTTTAATGTAATATTATCTGTGTCGTAGAACGATTTGCGCTTCCCTCGAGGGGACATTTTTGCGATTTCGTTCTACTGTGTTGATATTGGTTGGTTTTGTTTGTTATATGTATTTTGTCATTCCTATTTTTTCAACAAAGTCCCAGATAAGCTGAGATGTCCAGTATCTCTCATTAGGTGATGGAGAGAGTAGGGATTTAAGACAGAGAGTTTTTCCCCTCTCCGTTAGTTTTTTGATCATTGGTTGACGTTCATCGTATAGTTGATTACAGTTGATTAGCAGGTGTGGTGTGGTTGCAATTTGTCCACACGGGCATTTTATTGGTGTATAGGTGAAATCTCTGATTACATTTACTGTTTTAAGCCTAGTGATTAGTTTGCATATTTTGATGGAAGGATGGTTGATGTAAACCTTGTCGACAAGATTGCTATCTATTTGATAGCGATGGGTGTTTTCTTGTTGTAGACGGGTTTTCCATGCTTCTTTGATCTTTGTTTTAGCTATGCTTGTAAATTCCTGGCTGCTGTATTCTAAATAGTCTAATTCCTTGAGTGACGTCCCCTCCTTGGCTAATGTGTCGGCTTTTTCGTTGCCGAGAATATTGATGTGGGAGGGGATCCACGCAAGGATTAATTCAAGTTGTTTATATTAGTACGGCCATTGTTTTCAGTTGATGACGTCAGTCGTTGACCCTTAACCCTAGATGACGACCTAACTCGCAAAGAGAGGTCAACACGTTGTTTAGGGGATTGCTATTGGAAGGAAAATCTCAATAAAGTTGTAACTTCAACTGTCAGATTTGAACTTGGGGGAAAATAATCAAAATAGACAAAAAACGATGTAATCATATTTGAGTTAGTGCGTTTTTTATTTCAGTCAAACAAACTATTCCCAAATTTTAGCCCAACCATCGACCGAGTTTGTTGACTGGAAATTCTAGTGGTACTTAGGGGTAATTGATCTGCACTTCATGGCATCATGATCAAGTCTAGAGATAACTCTAGACCATTTGCCAAAAGAGTGGCTCCCCCTTTCATTAGGTTTGTTATTTATTTATTATATTCTAGACAAGTTTAATAAAATGTAATATTTTTGTCTCGGAACATAGTTAAATATTCACAGTTTGTAAATGAGAATTTAACATATAAATCCACAATATAATTGTATTGTCAAGAAATATTTTTAGCCTATTTTACTGGAGAATGATATTCTGACATATAGAGATACTCGATTTTCCAGCTATCTAATCTATTTGTGTAGCCTACTATAGCTAATAGGAACTATATAGATAATGTAACTTTTATTAATAAAAATAATGACTAATTCTCATGCTTTGGATTTGTTGTAGATGTTTATATGTTTTATCAAAAAGAGTGATGGCTAGTGGACAGTGTTATGGTTGTGGTGTGGGGTTTAGTTTGTTTAAAAAAGAGGTTGTTATTTGAATTTAAATTATTTTTATAAATAGATTATATTAAAGCTATAATTATAATATAATATAATAATAAAAATAATGCTTTATTACACAACTGCATGGTATATCCTATAATCAATGGTGAGACTTTTTCCATGGTTAGGTGTAATGCTTGCTTTCTGAAATATTGGATGTTGCTAAGACGGGCATACACTATGGACTATGAAGGAAATTTTGCCCGGGCAGCGGCATTATGGCATACTCTTATACCAAATTCCAACTGCCAAAGAATCTTTTACATGCATGCCAATGTATACACGGTACCTCGGTTTTTCATCCATCCGAACGACTAGAGATCTGTTCTTGTCAGGCCCTCCTTCCTGCACTACTTGCTTTCCAAAATATTGGAATGTTGCTGATTATTATGACGGGCATACGACATACAGTTTTCTATGAGGGAAATTTTGCCAGGGCAGCATTATAGCCTAGTCTTATATCAAATTCCAACTGCCAAGGATCTGTTACGTGCCTGGCAATGTATACGCGGGACCTTGGTTTTTCGTACCATTCAAAAAACTAGACATCTGTCCTTGTCAGGCCCTCCTTCCTGCACCACTGACAAGGGGGAAACCATGTCGGGCGTAAATTATGATGAACTTACAGCTCCATTCACAATGAAGGATGTTCGATATTCAACATAATACTTTTCATTATAGCAGATGGCAGAGATAATGGCAACATATTCAAAGTCAATGTTATAAAAATGTAGCAGATTCCACTTGCATGGTTCTGCAGATACTGAATGTACTCATTCATAGTTAAACATATATATTACCCAGTGTAAGCTTAAATAATTTTTATTTTTTTCTACAGCATGGTTGTAAGAATTGTGGTTTTGCCTTCTGTTCAAAATGTCTGACAAAAACCATAGCAGTGCCAAAATTAAATAATGCTAAACATCATGTTTGTAATAAATGTTATGATATTATTACTGGGTAAGAAAAATAAATATGTAAAAAATTCATCTCATATTTTTAATACAAGTCACTATTCATGTACAACAGTACAATTCTTGTATTTTTATCGCAAAGCATTATTATGCGCAATGAGAATCCACCGTAACAACTATCACTAAATGTCTGACCTAAAATTGGACGAGGTAAACTTTTATCTGAGTACTTAACTGCTTGCCTCTGTTTTCTGTGTGACCAACCAAGATTTTTAAGAGAAAATTTTAAGCAAAAATAATCTTTTTGAGGAGTAGATTTAAGAAGAATGTATTTAAAAGTGTATCTTAATGTTTTAACTTTAGATTTCTATCTGTTACAAACACTCTCTGCATTGGAAATATAATATTTTATGAATTGAAAATTTAATGATGTTTAACAGGGTCCATTCCAAAACCATTGTACACAGGGTCCATTCCAAAACCATTGTACATGTAATATAATGTACAGAAAAATACAAATAACTTACTGTTACTTTTTCTATGTTTTAATTTTTTTTACATTCGTGAATTTTACAGTAAAGTTGAAGGAAAAGATGACAGATCAAAATATTCTCCCCCAGAAGCTTACAAAAAGTAGGTTTTTACCATCAATTATTTCTTTTTCCTCTTTATTGATCTGTTATGTTTTAATTTTATTATTTAATTTCTGTTAAATGAAAAACAAAATGTGTTTAATTCTGATGAATTTTAGAGTGCCACAACCAGATAGATTATAAATATTATTATAGCCCAATTTTTCTATTCTTACTCCTAAAATGGAATGTGCAAATTATACTGTGGTTGAAATAACACTATGATTTTGGATAAAACTAAGAACAATTCTCCATCATTTCATAAAGGACTCGGTGTTTCTAATTAGAATATATACCTTCGCTGTAATGGTAATGCCTTCCCAATTTGTTATCACATGTAGAAAATGTACATTTTTCAATTACTATAAATTAAATAAAACGAAATGAACTGTTTAACGTCCTACTGTTCTGCTCCGACTGAGCTAATGAAGACGGGCATACGCCTACTCTTATTTCAAATTCCAACTTTCATGGGTTCTTTTTTGTGCATGCATATGTGTACATAGGACCTTGTTTTCTCTCCCATCAGAACAACTATACATTGTCCTCTTCCAGGCAGTCTGTCCTACACCAAGCCAGAAAATCCTGCTGAACTTTCTCTGCCAATGCAGGGATCAAACACGGAACTCTATAAATTAAAAGGAGTAGGAGACATACTCTTATCTGCCTGTGGTATTTGTAATATTCAATTTAGATGAAACAGTTTGAAAATAATTCACATGCAAGCCAGAGTAAGAAATAGAGTCGTAAAGTATTATTTGAAATAAATAGCCAGATGCAAATATGTTTGAATATATTTTACATGTATTAACCTTGGAATATCTCATCTATTTCTGCATATATTAACCTTTATTGGTATTCCTATTCTATATTTCAGAAGAATGGCAGCACTTGAGGAAAAGGAAAAGAATCCAAAAAGTGCAACAAAAAAGGCAACACACACTACTTCGAATAAAAATAAAGCTAAATATATTGGATTATCTAAAGCTGATAGAGAAATTGCTGAAAGACTTGATAAATTAAAAGAAAAACCAGCAACAGGTATTTTATTTCGATTATTACTGTCTTTAAGGTACATAACATTAACTTTATTTATTCATTATAATTTCATCTGGTTATGCTGATTCTCAATTTCTAATAAATTTTAGCATTTATTTGAACTAAATCAGCAATAACTAAGAAAAGGCATTTAAAACAAAGGTGCCAAATCAGTATGGTCACATGGTACATTTGACCTCATTGTCAACTCCAGTCCACTTGCTCAAGATGTGCATGAAGGCATCTTCATTTGAAAGAGGGGTGCATTAATTTGACCTCATTGAATCCACTGGACCTGGTTGGCATTGCTGACTCCATTGCTGCAAGATGTTCATGAATTTTGCAATATTTGCATACTCAAAGTTTGTGAACACAAACGTTAAGGGTGGGAATCCTCAAATCTAAACCATATTTCTCAAAAAACGTTTAACAGAATTCCATGATTTTGTTATGATAAACAAGGTGTGTGGAGCATCTTACTTTTCATCCTCGGTTACCCAGTGTACTCATTCCGTTCTACTCCACTATACCATGGGTTAATCCATAGGGTTTCCACGATTTCAAATTATCTGCCCTGGCCTAGAATGTAGCTACAGTCTACAAACCAATCAGAAAACAGTTTACAAACCAATCGTTTCCCTTCGTTTTTATAAGGGTAGATAACCATATTCATGTCCATTTACTGAATGATTTATGTAAATAATGTATATATTTATAATTTATTTATATTTAATTGTATTATCAAAATCTGTAGTATGGGTTGTTGATTTCAAATATGTATAGGGCCTAACATCTACATGTTTGACTTTTGTTATTATTATTACTATTCGTTCTTTGTCTGAAATATGTCATTCTGTTATGTTTATAATATTGAACTTATACTTTGCAATTTGATTCACAATAACTTGTCTATGATATCACGTGGACATAAAATTCCGGGAACGAACGATTCTAAATAAAACTAATGACCCTACATTATTATATGAACGTCCGGTTTTCATTAACATAATATATAATTGGTTGTTAATAATTACGCACTTAGAATAGGCCAACTCCTAACATTGTCCCATGAGAGTTATTTCCCTTTGCCAACTTCCTTTTCAAATAACAATTTATGGGATTGGTCGATAAAAATAGCACAATCATCAAGGGCGGATAACTTGAAAACGGGTCTCCCCCATAGATTAACCCAGGGTATAGTGGAGTAGAAAGGAATGAGTACACTGGGTAACCGAGGATGCTTACTTTCCTGATCTAGTCAGATATTTAAAAGTTTCAGAAGTTCAATTTGATAATGAGAAATAATCTTCCCATTTTTTTTGTAGAAGCTAAAGTTACAGATACAGATATAGCAAGTCGACTGTCTAAATTAAAAGGTGTAGATCAAACCACAGTACAGCCAAGTCACCAACATGTAAGTCTTTTTTAGCCCAGTCGGTAGAGAACAGAAGAATGTTAAACTCTATTTAATTTCATGTAAATCTATAGAAGATGTAGGAGAGTTTATATGCAATGTAAAGCAAAAAGAGAGAGAGAGAGAGAGATAAGAGAGAGAGAGAAAGAGGGGGGTCTTCAGCAGTGGGAGCCACTGGTAGGAAACTGAAGGACCTGGAGAAAACCAACGAGGTTGCACAGGTGACCCCATGCCACTTTACTCAATGACAGACCTTATGAGCTAAAGTGCATGTGTTAAACCATTCTGCCACCATGTAAAGCAAAAGAGGGAGAGAGTGAGGCAGTCTTCAGCAGTGGGAGGAAACTGGAGGACCTGGAGAAAACCAATGAGGTTGAACAGGTGACCTCAGGCCACTTGATTCAATGACAGACCTTATGATCTAAAGCGCATGTGTTAAACCATTCAGCCACCAAACCTCGTATGTGCAAAAAACATGACTTTCTTTTACGGTTAAAAAGAAAGTTTTTATATTTTCTCACATAGCTGTATCTCCCATTAAGCAGTATCTCTAAGGTAAAGATATGTTATCCTTTCAAGAAATAAAGACTCTTTGACTCTCACATTTAGCCATTGTTTCAGAATATACAATCATTTCTGGATATAATGCAAATCTTTTTTTAAAACCTTTATTGAGGTCCGCTTAGAATACTGTGCATGAATTAATAAACAAACAAAAAAGAAAAGTGTCTGTTTCATGAAAGAATTTAGAGCACTGTCATTGTATGACAGACATTGGTGTGATGGATTTTAATTAACAGTCCATTGTTACTGTCCCATAGATGATAAATTTCGTGCAGTGCGACAATCTAGAAAAATATTTATCAATCTCATTTCTGACATTTTATACAATTTTTCAGAAATTTTACCACCCTCCTGATAGAAGATCTGAACAGAAACAAGTTGATGATTTATTAGATGAAATTTGTGATGAAGTAGAAATAGATTCACATTTTCCTAGTCCTGCCACAGATGTACAGCAACGTCTTGATAAATTAAAAGGTCAAGCAAAGCCAGGTGATCAAGGTCTGTTTTCCATATTTTACATTTCAAGTCAACTTTTATAATTAAGATAGCAGTAGCAATTTTGAAGACCTTGCCAGACCTTGACTATACTATCACATTGGTGACATTCAGATTAGATTCCTTGCTAGGGCTGTCAAAAAAAATCAACATATTGCAATATGGATTCTTCGGCCATTATTTATCGGGGGGGGGGGGGGGGTGTGTGGATGGCTGAATGGTTGGCGTGCGCGCGCTGTATCATAAAGTCTGTCATTGAGTCGACTGGTGTGGTTTCGAATCCCCGGTTGGACATGACAAGGAGTAGGGGCGCCTGTCCAACCTTGTGGGTTTTCTCCGGGTCCTCCGGTTTCCTCCCAGTGCTAAAGACCCCTATGCGCAAGCAAATTATTGAAATAAAATTAAACCATATGTTAGTCCCGAAATGACCTAGTTTGTGTCGAGTGGACGTTAAACCCCATTTCTCTCTCTCTCTCTCTCATTATTTATCGCAATATGAAGTCATTCTGATGGAAGATAAACAAAAAGAGGTCGATCAAGGTGTACAATGGCGTAAACGTAAAATAAAACAAACCCTGGGCAGTTGGAATTTGAAAAGGAATAGGTAGAAACCCCATTATCCTAGCAAAAGTCTCAGTAGTAAATAGAATTAACTTGAGCATGTTAGTCTCATGTAGTGTGTTGACTAAATGTTTAACTCCTTTCCAAAAGTCTTTTCTTGTTTTATCTAAATTTATGAATTCTTATATCTTTCAGATGTAGAAAATAATTTGAACAAAGATTCTCAAGACAGAAATAAAAAATTTGATAAAAATATCAATCAAGCGGGTGCTTCAAGCAGTGAGGATAATTTAGACATGGAAGAAATAACACGATTAGTAGAACAAGCATCAAAAGAACTTGAAGTTGATGCACATAGAGCTATTGAAGGTCTAAAGAAAGATAAAGAAATAATGGAACGACTAAATGAAATAAAGAAAAGGAAGAAAAATGGCGAGAATGGTGAATAAACTATGTTATTGTATTCTTTAACATTTTAGGGCAATTGTTTATACTGGTGTCAAGTGATTAGATGGTTGATTAGTAAAAGATGCCATGACAATTTTAAATTGAAATGAGAGTAGGCCCCACCTCCACTGTCAAGACAAATTTTAATTCATAGCGTGGTTGGTGCAGAACAGTAAGATGTTAAACCTGCTTTATTTTATTTTTCATCCCTTTAAATATAAAAATTTCACTCGTAGCATGTTTGGTGTAGAAAGTGAGAGAGAAATGGGGTTTAACATCCACTCAACACAGACTAGGTCATTTCAAGACTGACTAACATATTCAGTTTTCTTTCACTAATTCACTTGTGCGTAGGGGTCTTCAGCAGTGGGAGGAAATCTCAGGACCTGGAGAAAACCCACGTTTCACAGACGACCCTACTCCTTGTCATATACAAGCTGGGAATCGAAAACACGCCACTTGACTCAATGACAGATCTTATAATCTAAAGCCGCAATGGTTCAGAAAATTAATACATTAAACTCATTCTTTTTCTTGTCCCTTCCCTTTAAATGTATATATTATTATATTTTTAGGAGATGAAGTAAAAGAAGATAATAAAATGAATATAGATGTAAAAGAAGATGATTCTGATAGTGAAAACGAAGAGGAGGCAATAAAAAGATTAGTAACAAGGGTACATATATTATTATCAATATTATTCACCAAATTAATCCTCTTTGATTATGTAATTTCATCTGTATCAACTTACTTTATGTGCTTTAAAGATGCATTATGTAAGAACTAAATCTGACTAATGCAGGTCTTTACAGTCGTGGCCAAAAGAATAGGACCACGCTTGAAAATGGTTGGATTTCTTACATGTAAATTCATTTGATCATATATCTGCCACCCGATCAAATGAATTTACATGTAAGAAATCCAACCATTTTCAAGCGCGGTCCTATTCTTTTGGCCACGACTGTATTTTGACTTCAAATGTTATATAAACTATAATTTAGACATTTATTCATATGACCAGGCCTATAATCAACTCTCTAGAACATCACATTGTGGAGATTTAAACGGATTAAAACACGATTGCCATTTAATGATTTAATTTGAAAATTGTGAAGCAAGGCTCAGCCTCGATTAACAAGTACCGTTGCTGCGATAATAAACAATCTATGCCACATCTTGTCCAAACAGAATATAGTAATGTGAATGAAATTTTCAATATATTTATTTTGCATTATCTACTTTTTGTCCCCCGCCTTTCGAAGAAAGCAGGGGACTATTAAAATGGGTTCGTCCGTCTGTCTGTCTGTCTGTCCGTCTGTCTGTCCGTCACACTTTTTGGGACACAATAACTCTCTTCCTAAATGAACTAGAATGTTCAAACTTGGTGTATGTGTTTATTAGGTCAATGCCTTGATGGAGTTCGAAGATGAGCATTTTCCGCTTAGGGTAAGCAGAGATAAGCAATTTGATTGGTTGATGCTTTGGGACACGATAACTCTCTTCCTAATTGGGCTAGAATGTTCAAACTTGGTGTATGTGTTGATTAGGTCAATGCCTTGATGGAGTTCGAAGATGAGCATTTTCGGCTTAGGGTAAGCAGAGATAAGCAATTTGATTGGTTGATGCTTTGGGACACGATAACTTTTAATTGAGCTAGAATGTTCAAACTTGGTGTATGTGTTTATTAGGTCAATGCCTTGATGGAGTTAGAAGATGAGCATTTTCCGCTTAGGGTAAGCAGAGATACGCAGTTTGATTGGTTGATACTTTGGGGCACGATAACTCTCTTCCTAATTGAGCTAGAATGTTCAAACTTGGTGTATGTGTTGATTAGGTCAATGCCTTGATGGAGTTCGAAGATGAGCATTTTCCGCTTAGGGTAAGCAGAGATAAGCAATTTGATTAGATGAGCATTTTCCGCTTAGGGTAAGCAGAGATAAGCAATTTGATTGGTTGATACTTTGGGGCACGATAACTCTCTTCCTAATTGAGCTAGAATGTTCAAACTTGGTGTATGTGTTGATTAGGTCAATGCCTTGTTGGTTGATGCTTTAGGACAAGATAACTTTGATAGAGAGTGATGAAACTTAAGTGTATAGTTGATAATCAGTTTGATTGCTTGATACTTTAAAAAAAATAAATGTGCGATAAATTAATGTGTCATCTATTTATTTTGGTATTTTGGCGGGGGACATCAGCCTCACTGTTGGCTTGTTAATGATTATAGCAGGAACTGCCAGCTCTTTATCTAAATCTTACATAATGCATCTTTAAGCTAGGCACATTATTGTTGGACATTTTCTTTAAGTTCACAATCTTTAAATCATAAACGTCTAACTTGAAAATAATTTGTCTTGTTCTATATCAGATTCATAGTAAGAATTTATTGGTATGTCCATCAAATTTAATTATATCTGTGCTTAAATTTTTAGTATGTAGAAGAGTCTAAACTAGATGAGGGGATGGGTGAAGATATGAGCAACAGTAACAATAGAACTTCTAAATCTTCGAAAAAGGTAGATTAACTTCATTTTATTTACATGTACTTTCTTAATGCTAAGTGATTTATGTAAAGGCCAAGTAAAATTATGCAGTACTTTTGAGAGATATGGATAGTTCAAGACACAAAAATAATATCTGTATCTGCTGTTAGTTAGCCTATGTTATGTTGCCTCACAACCATTTTTGTAATGTACCTAACAATATGAACTTGTAGGTGAATCTTATATTATGGAAATAACTACATGATGTATAATACCAAAATTTTATGGGGATATGGAGAGTTGGGGCATCGAGTGGTCTAATGTGTGTGTTTAAGATCATAAGTGGCTTAGTTTCAATCCCAAGGGAGTAGGGTCACCTGCAATAGCTCGTGGATTTTTTCCAAGTCCTCTGGTTTCCTTCCAATGCACAAGCGAATTATTAAAATAAAATTGTAACCCAAAAAGAGCTAGTTTGTATTGAGCCCCATTTCTGTCTCTCTCCAAAATCCTATACAATAATTATTGTGTTCCATACTGATTATTTACAGGAAGTTAATAGAGAAACTGATGTACCAGATGACTATGATGATAGTGATGAATTACCATATTGTTGTATGTGTACAGAAGATGCTATTATAAGATGTATAGACTGTGATATGGATTTATTTTGTACAAAATGTTTCAAGTTAGTTTAAATGTTTCTAATATTTGTATACCACATAAAATAACTACACTATTAGGTCTGGGTTGTAAAGATGACCTTCACCTTGGTGTATTCCTCTTCAATGTTTTATTTTAAGTAATGCAATGAATTTCTTCTTATGAATACTCTGTAATCCGATACATGCATGACATACGGTAAACATTGCCAGGTTGCCTTTTGGGTTTGTTTTGCAAAATTTTATTTTGTATGCCCACATTGGAAATGAAATGAAATGGGGTTTAACGTCCTACTGTTCTGCTCCTAACTGGGCTAATGAAGACGGGTGCTATGTGGGAAATTTGCCTGGACTGCGGCCTACTCTTATATCGAATTCCAACTGTCAAGGGATCTTTTACATGCACGCCAATGTGTACACGGGACCTCAATTTTCGTCCCATCCGTACGACTAGACAGCTGTCCATGTCAGGCCCTCTGTCCTGCATCACTGACAAGGGGGAATCATGCCTGCCCACATTGGGAATGTTCATCTAGTCCTAAAGAAGAACTCTATCAGCGATTTTTCACACAGTTAAATGCGCTTTACTGTCACTGAAACCTTGTTAGCTAAGAGTTTTTGAGATTTTGTTTTCAAATTTGCTGTGATTGTTCCATAAGTCTCAGGGAGAAACCTTATTTAATATAGAGTCATGCAACAATATTTCATAAGAGTTACAGAAACCTTAAAAATCCTCTGCTTTTGCTAAAGTGGAACCCTATTGAAATTCACACAAAAATGTGTTTGATAAAACTACTGAGCCTGTCTTTGCAACAGTTACAAGTCAGATTTTTTGAAAACTTAAAAGCTACTTGTGGGTGGGTGTATATTTATTTCCTGACAACGTTTATTTTATCTTACAGGGCTAGCCATGATGAAATTGATATAAAAGATCATAAAACCAAGAAATATACAGCTCCAAAAGGTTATAAAGACTAATATAGAAAGAAATAGTGAAGCAAACATCAAATCATGCAAATAATCCCTACAGTTATGTTTTCTGGAAATAATTTTCTTATGTCAGGCTCATTTTAATGAAATTATTGGAAAAAAATATCTCATTGTTGTCTTTTTAGAATATTTACCCCCTTTTGTTGTTCACCCACGTTTGATATGGGAGGACATTGTCACTTCAGTCCATCGGTTGACCTGTCTATCCACAGAATTTTTTTTTTTAAAACTTGCTGGGATTGTTCAGTTAGTTAGACCTAAGGAGAACTCATTTTGAAATTCAGGAGCCGACGAGGAAAGTTGCCCAGTTATTCGGATGGGATAGAAATTCTGAAGTCCACATATTGGAGTTCTGAAAATTTAACTTGCATAGTTGGCAGTGACTGAGCAAAGCATTCTGATGGCAAGATGTCAAAACTTCCAGAGGTATATATACCAAATGTGAAATACAGGAGAAAAGAAATAATTAACTTCTGACCACACAATTTATCAATTGATTAACCCCATTCTCTTATATATCATTCTCATAATTGGAGACACCATTTATTCCTGTGTATTGTACATACAGGATTTAGAGGACATTAAACCATATTTCATTTCATTTATACAAGATTTAGAATAGTCACACAGAGGAGTCCCAGGCCAATATATCAAAATAAAAAAATATTTTATGAATTGGGGCCCCTTTCCTGTATGCAAAATCAACCTGTCAGCAAAATGCAATGGCTTTATATATGCATGGGCAATGACTGAACATTGTATCTACATGTAAATTAGATGCATGTACAAGATGTATATCTTGAGTAAATGATTTGATAAGATGCATTGATGATTAGTACTGAATCAAAAAATCAGAAAATATAAATCAAATACTAAATGAAGTATTTGGACTTACTTATTACATATACATGTCAACACTATTACAAACATTATATAAACAATTCGACATACTTAACAAATGTCTATAGGATTATTATTCTATTAAAGTTGATATTTCTGATTTACAGAATGTATGGAGTCAGTTAAATTCTTATGTATAAAGTATAATGTATTTATATTGGGAATAAAATCAAATTGTTATTGACAGTAAGTTGTTGAGTGTTGGTCAATTGTATCTTATTTTATAATCGACCGAGGAACTTTCTTTTAAAACAAAATTTATAGTTTTTAGAATTAGCATTTTGATCTAAACACAATGAAGGGAAACATATTTGATCTGTTTTGAAATGAAATTATTCCCATGTGTACGTGAAAATATAAATCTATTATAATCATTTCTTGTGCAGTGACCGCCCTAGACATTCGCCAATGGCGACAATTATTTTTATTGGCGAATAAAGTGATGATACTGGCGAAATATTTGGCGAATGAATTTTAGAGAGTGTTATTTCGTAAATCTGCTAATATTAAACTTGAAATCGTCTCGTTAAACGCTTCTTTCGATCGACTCGATGGAGTGTCTATTTTTAGTACATTAATTACTCTAGTCTCAATCTTACAAGTCGCAAATCAGTCAATTTACAATATTACAACTATTACGCATTAAAACGACCGAAAGATCGAGTCTGGAGACTATAAAACACAGTTACGCCCCTTTTGTGTGGCACTGCGTTGTTTACATTCGCTTCACTACAAGTTTTCTTTACTTACGCAGCAAATAAATAAAACGCACATTAATGACAACTAATACTAGTAAACCCAAAATAAGGATAGATTCCTTTTTCCTTCCTACGACTACTGTTAGTCCAGAATCTACTTCCGTGAGTGAGCGTGTCATCTCGGACGCAAGTCCTTCGTTGGCTTCATCAACATGTGGACAAAAATTAGACCTTTAACCGAGACCGTCGAGCTAACCCTCAATGACCTCATGCTTATAAAAATGGATGGACCGGACATAAATTTCAAATCAGCGGTGTCTTAAAAAGAATCGTCGTGTCTTTTCTGTTATGACGATGAAGTAAATTAAATCATGTGACTGTGAAGTACGTCCTATAAACATTTTTTGGTTATCTGCATTCATTCTCTCAATAACGTGAACTTTTGCATGAACAAGGAGATAAAATAATATTCTTGTGTACTATATATAGAGGATATTTGTCGTTTTAGAGTGAGTAACATATTTTATTTCATCGAGAAGCAAGAAAACTTATATTTTCACGAATGCGTAGCATGAGTGAAAATATAAACGTTTTCTTGCTTAGAGATGAAATAAAATATGTTATTCACGACAAAACGACAAATGTTCTATTTATTTTATGATTTTACAATCATTTTAGGTAAAAACAACTAGCCAGTGGAATAACACTGATCATAAAATAAAAGTACATATTAAACATTTATTTTGTCTGCGATATCACCTCGGTGGAAGCGGACGTAAAATACAACTAACACACACACACATTTATTTTCATTTTTAATTAACAAACATATGAATAAAAATGATATAAAATATTTGGCTAAAACTTTCTGAATTGGCTAATAAAATTTTGATTTGGCTAAAAATTTGGCTAAAGGTTTTAAGAGTCTAGGGCGGTCACTGCTTGTGATGTTTATGGTATATCATTTGTATCTTATTTTATAATCGACCGAGGAACTTTCTTTTAAAACAAAATTTATAGTTTTTAGAATTAGCATTTTGATCTAAACACAATGAAGGGAAACATATTTGATCTGTTTTGAAATGAAATTATTCCCATGTGTACGTGAAAATATAAATCTATTATAATCATTTCTTGTGATATTAATGGTATATCATTTTCTATCCAACATATAATCTCAGTCATACCGTGTTATGAATAGTTAGGTCATACAAAAAAAGAATTATTCTGTTTCTTAAACAATCCTTCCAGATGATCAACAGGAGATGTTTTACAGAGCGTCCCTTCACCATTAGAAATATAAACATGTGATAATAAATCAGAATGTTCTTTTTTGAAATGATAACAGACTATACACAACCTTTTTAAGTCAAGCTGCAGTATCTAAGAACCAGATCTAGAATATACATGTACATATTTTCATATGACCTGAAGATGTACAATAATGAGTTTTAAATGAGATGTGAAGGAACTAATAACAATGGTCATACAGTTTACATAAAGATGATCTTATATTTTTGAATAATTTGGTGGACATTATGAACGATTTACATTTCATTACAATTTTTGAAATCTTTTGAGACTTAAAATAATAACGATATGCATGTTTCAGATATTTAAGATCATATATCTAACAGGATCATGTGAGAAAGCCCACTGTATGCTTGTCAGATCATGGTGCTACAATAAGATGATAACAAGTTGTTTGGTGACGAGCTGGTGGGTTATCAAACACTACCAAATGGGCAGAAGAACAAATGCATTTTACGATAAATGATAACAATATCTGAAAATAATCGAATCAATATCTGTATTTTGTAGAGTAATCTTTTGGTGAAACAACTAAACCTCGACCCTTTCTAGCACCTCTATACACAGTTTCTACTATATCAATAAATTCCTGAACATCTTCCATAGGCCAGTTGATCTTATTGTTATTACCAGTACCCAAATCTATCATTATATGTTTGTTTCTGTAGAAAAACATGCAAGTACATGGATCATACAATTCATACATTTTGTTAAAGTCTGGCACTTTTGAAATGTCCACTAAATAGATCACAGCAAAGTTTTTCATTTTTTCAGCACATCTATATAATGTTTCGTCCATCACCATACATGCTGGGTCCCAATCATGACCAAATCTAATAATAACTGCTCGATCTTCTTCTGATAAAATGGCTTGATCAACTTGCCAACCATTGTGGAGATGTTGTAGCATGTAAGACATGATGAGATGTGTTAGATGACACTGAAATAAATTTTAAAAACAGATTGTTAGATCTATGTCTATAAAATCAAATTAAGAAATATAAAAAACAATGTAGAAAAGACCACATCTTCAAGTCATGATCACTGTTTTATCATGCATGGTGCTATTGAACTTTCCTGTGGGGATGTTAAGGGTGACTAGAGCTCCATCACGTCACTCATAACATTCATCTGAGTAATTCTTTAAATTAGATACATGTTTGTAAGTATGGCCAATACTTCAGAGTGACCCACTAGTTTGAGTTGAGACTCTCAGAAAAGCTATTTGTTCTACATTATGTACATATTTCTTCAGATTTTGGACTATAAATTGTATCTTTGATCCCACATTTATCAACAGATAACCTCTATGAATTATGAGACTGGGCCAACCCAGTCATACTACAATATGCTGTCTTACACTTAACACTGTCAACAGATCCCAATCTGATGTCATGATCTGGTAACACGGTATCCATTATTGATGACAATTTTTAGCTACCCTAAACTTAGACAATTTCTATTCAGCTAAATGGTCATGTTTAAAGGTCACCGGAAAGCTTCATTTTTTTTTTTAAATAATGCAAGTAATTGTGTCAACATATCCTTTCCATAAGTATAAGTATTTCAACGTTAGTAATTTCTGACGTTCTGCGTGAGTAGTCGTAACTTTCCATCAATAAACCATCTGAGATGTCATTTTAGTCCTAAGTCAGCTCCTATTCTAGTCTGTATTTCTAGGAGAAGAAGGCCTAAAATGACGTAGCTGATTGTTTATTGACGGAAAGTTACGGAGAACGGCGGAAATTACTAATGTTGAAATTTACCTGTTGCAGGTAATATTCTTATATTGACATTCAGGTTTGTGTTAGCCTACTGACTTATACTGTTATTATACTTACGGAACGGATTCCGATATGATATGTTGACACAATTACTTGCATTAGGCCTATTTAAAAAAATCTATGAAACTTTTCTGCTGACTTTTAATTTAAATTCGAAAATTTTTCAATACAGCATAGAAAATACTTGAAACCTGTGCTGATCTGTGATGACTGAGTGATGGCAATCATTGAATCAAATATCAATGGCCACAAATCAGTATCACATGAAATGAAAATGAGTTTCCAGAAAACTCCATCCCAAGTAACGTAATTGCTGATTGTGAAGTTGGGTAGAAGCCTTTGTTGTACTTTATTCTGATTAATATACAAAATAAAACACGGTTAATTACCTTCTGGGTGAAAAGACTCGATAATTAAAATGTTCTCAACAACACAGGAACGATTATTTTTAATCTGTTTCGTACACCCCACCCTTAGTGACTTAGGCTAAAAAGAGAACACAAAGGGACGTAACTAACAGCGGTTATGTCCCATGAAATGAATGAATGGAATGGGGTAAAACGGCCTACTTTTCTACTCCAACTGGGATAATGCAGACGGACATACGCCATGGAGTGTGCTATGCGTAGTATGAAGGAAATTTTGCTTGGCAAATGGAATTCTAACTGTCAGAGGTTGTATAAACAGGACCTCTTTTTTTGACCGATTCGAACGACTAGAGCCACTAGACACCGTTCCTTGCCAGGTTGACAACGGGAAACCACGACGGAGCATTATCCGAATGATCATAAACCATTACCAACATGCTAGAATAAGGATTAAATAAAGCACACGCAATCAAATAAGATTTTTTAAAAAGTCTTCTCATTAATATGATAGGCTAGTCGACTTATATTTCACTTTTTTTAATAAGTGAATATTCTGTCTTATAATTGGCACTGGCTTGGTATTTTTGCAGACTAATCGAAATAATCAGTACCATTTTAATAAGTAGGCTAGTTCTGTTAAACTAAATAATTATATAACATACTAAATGGCATCAAGTGTTTTGAAATGTATGAGCTACGATTTTTTTTTTTTACAATGGATAAATTTTAATCACAAGGTCTAGAAAAATATGTTATTTATTATTAGATCATACTGCTTTCAATTGCTAAGGATGAGTTCCCGGACAGTATTAAGGAGTTTGCTTGGTTTATAATAAGCTGTAGTGGTGATGCGAAAGCGAAATTTCGATAGGATTCTTCCATTGAACTACCTTGCGGTTGTGTGTAAGGGTGCGCCAAACGGGCGGACGCAGGATATTGGTGAGGGGAAATGTTTAAATATCGGGGTGTCAATGGTGATTTGTGGGGCATGTCTGGGCCCGAATATAACATCCAGTTTCATCAACTACATCCCCGCATCAAACAGAAAGCTCAAATTTACAGGTGTCATAGAAGCACAGATCCGCCACAGAGCATAAGCCATTCAGGGCAAATTTTGTACGGACAGTTGCGTTTCGGACCCCTCTTCATTGAATTCCAAATCAAGTGGAGCTCGGTTTTTCGTCCCATACAACTACTATAAGTTACATTATTTTCAATGCCATCTGACTCGGCCCTTGCGGGGAAGCCAGGCTGAAAAATCTCAAGAAACTTTCTCGGTTAACATCGGGATCGAAATCGCCGAACATGGGGATTGCTCGGGTCCCCGTGAATTCTCTTTACGATTAGTTCCTAACTTAACGATCTCTCTGTATTTCAAACTCTATAAAGGTTTTCGGGAAAGCAGCTGTTAGGACAAAGTTCTGACTCGCAACTATAGAAATTACCGTATGTTAGTCTCTAAACGACCGAATTATTATGATCTATTTCACCAACATCACAATGGGAAAGCGGAATCGAAAGTCGCAGAAACCTGTGGCGTACCAGGCCCGTAGCTCGCGGCGGGGGGGGGGGGCAGGAAAAAATACAAATTCAGCCTCAAAATTGAAATTTTCCGTCATTTTTCTGGGAAGAGAGCACCTTAGAATCTTCTCCGAAGGGAGGCGCGTCCACGGTGCGGGTAGCTTACAGTTGGGGGTGTAGGGGCCTCTCCCAAGAACATTTGGAAAATTAGACTGCTGCAAACGCGTTTTCCTGCTAATCCACGCCTTGCGTACAGTAACTTGAAAGTGATCTTGTATAATCTTATTGATGTCGCCTTGCAATCGAATTCCAGATTATGGAAAAGGAGGACATAATTCAAATGCCGAAAAAAATCTCATTTCGTGTCCACTGAGTCTCGGCCTGCAAATCCGGTGGACCGTGAGCGCCGAAGGCCCAAAATGCTATGTCTGCAGGTATGGGAGGCCTCCCCGAGATAATTTTGAATGCTATTCTAGCCCATGAGTTATGCAACTTCGGTGGTCCAATGGTCATGCAACCGAAGTCCCTCTCTATGCCGACCTTAATTCCTACATTCACCAATAAGAATCGATGAACGAAAAATGTCGCACAAAGCAGAGTGGTTTCAGACAATACAGTACAAATACGCGTTATTCAATTATACTCTTCAAACAAAGTAGGGGATATTGAAATGCAAATATCTATGCAGGTTGTGATATTTTAAATAGTCATGGACACTTGACATGCTTTGAGAGTATGTTCACAGACGAAAAACTTATTGCCCCAACAGAACCACTGAGCTGCATGTGCGACACGCAATAGCGCCGTACACGTGGGAGGGTTCATTGTCAAATTTGTCACTCCAAGGAAGGGTTGATGAAAACTGCCGTTTGCTGGTTGGTTTATCCTATCCATGTTTGCTTTCCGATCGGTTCTTGCATAAGATTTACTGTTTAGCATATCTTTGCTTTAGTGTGTTACGTTTAATTTGATCTGGGGCGTGTTCGTCGACGTCAAAGTCAACCGACAACACTGCAAGAGAAGTGGGTCAGATTGCCCCCATATCGTGATTGAACGGTTGATTAGAAGCATGCTACGACGAATTACCGAATGTCTGAGGATTGGTGGAGCAATTACTCATTATTAAGACAAAAATCAAAAACGTCCATTTTCCTTTTTGACAGTGTATCTTTTTGCGGGTGAAATGGGGCCGTCAGATAAGCCGCCCATATGAACTGTTTATGTTCATGTGTAGGCAATTGGCCCGTTATTAACATACACTAGTTACCTCTAATAAAAACAGCAGTGCATTTCCGCAGTTTTGTATTGTTTCTGAATATCCCCTACTTTTTTGAAGAGTATAAAAGAAAAGTAAACTATGTGTTTTATTTGATTTCGGGCACTTTATTTCGCAAACTTAACCACTATTAATTATTATTTTTTTTTTTTTACTTTGCCCGTCAGCCCGAAAAGTCAGAATGCCCGAGATAAGGGGGACAGCTGATCTCCCCCCCCCCCCCCGCCCAACTCCCCGCCCACCAGTCCCTGTTTCACATAAAAATAACACCATGCACAAAACTTTTTTTTTCTAATTTACTAATGAGTATATGACTGGGTGGTGATCGAACGGTAAAAATATAATGGCGTCATGATCATCATCTACTTTTCGCATATCTGGGTCTGTTGTGTTGTATAATTTCTGCAATCTTTATTCCTAATTATTACCCAATTCATTACTATTAGTTCACATTTAGTAACAATGACCATGTGGAGTGGCGTTGTTTATAATAGCTCTTGAAATAAGAGATAATGTTTAGCGCCATATGACCTAATAACCCACATGGAAACCGTGAACGGCTCTCAAAACTGTAGTGTCAATTAACGGTTTAAGCTCCTAAATCTGTGGTTTGTTGACAAAATAATTTATCGTATCCACAGTGACCTGTCTTATCTTAGACACATCCGTCTGATGTTGATCACAAAGATTTATTTTTAAAACAATTCAATAAATTTAGATTGGTCATTTATCCTATTTATCGATGAATGGATTTCGTTTGAACAGCTGACTGGTATTAACGCCCCTTTTACAATAATAAACTCGCCCACTAAATGCACGCTTTGGACGATTAGTTATAGCACCGTAAAATACACTGTTCATACGTACGTGGTTTTGATATGGATACCGTTAAACTTCTAAATGGATATTATACAATAAATTATGGATTTATGGAATAACTTTCTTGTGGATAATGGTTGACACAGGACAGGAATAATGTCGAACGTTAAAGTTGCTGTAAGAGTAAGGCCATTGTCAAATCGGTAAGTTGGAAAACTTTAGCCATAGATTTTATACACTGAGTATCGCGTTCATGCCTCAACCCAGTCTGTATGTCAACTCAACATACACTTGTGGCATTGGTGTAACAGTAAATATTATTCTTTACTCTTCGCGGGATTATCGGCTAATAACAACATCGACATACTATAATTTGTCCATAGAAAATACCAAATTATACGGTAAATAAAATGCTGTAGGGTATTAAAAAATCAGTTTTCAACATTGGCATCTCTGTACGGGTACCGCGTCATGACAGACAGCATTGACGTTTTCACCATGTCAGGATTCCAATCACCTCAACGTTTAGATGTAGATGATAATTGGTCCCTCAACAATAAGAAATGAAGAGCTAGATTCAATGATTTTCACATTTAAATCATACGAAATATAGAGTTATATATATATCATTGGAAATACAAACTTTATATTTAGTTTTAATCACATCACACGAAAATGAAACAGTTGATTCATATGTCTAAAGTCACAAAGTGTATATGTATTCATGTTTTCCTTCATGGACGTTTCGATGCAATAAACATCTCATCTATCTTATCTTATCACTTTCTTTTAGCAACATTGGTAATACGTACCATTGAATCTGTTGGCTATGGTACAATTTTTTTTTTTAATTTATTTTACTTATAAAGATAAGATAAGATTTTATTGTATCGAAACATCCAATGTGGACAGCATCAGTGGCGGATTAAGCTCCACCAAGGCCTGAGGCGGCAGTTGCTGGAGGGCCTATTTAGTTTTTAAATAGGCCCTATTTAAAATGGCGTGGGCCTAATTAATTTCGGGTCAGGGCCTATGTTGATTCCCGTTGGGCCACCCCCCTAACATTCATTGTCTATGCGTTTTTAATCGTATCAGACAAGTCTAAAAAAATTTTTTTTACAAAATCTTTGGGCCTGAGGCTGCAGCCTCATCAGCCTCACTGATAATCCGCTACTGGACAGCATACAATATAAACATATGCACATACTGTAAACATGTATTGTTTTCACATGCTAAGCAATATGTATATGTACCCATGATACATGTATATGTGACAAATAATGCACAGATGTTGTCTGAATATTTTTAAAATCAATAATATATTTCATTATAACTATTATGAATATGTGAATAATAATAATACTTTGATGTATATTATACAGTGAAAGAGAACAAGGCTCTCAAACTATTATTGAAGTTATTGGTGATGTTATTGCTCTCACAAACTTAAAAGTAAGTATTGATTTTTGACATTTATTCTTTCTGTTTCAGTATTTTAAATTGAGCAACATTCTCCTAAATCAAATAGTCTAGCTAGAATCTAATAATTTTATGCAAGGAATCTTTTCAAATTTACTTATTTATAAGTTACCACATCGCATGTTAGGAATATATTGTCATCACTCCTGTCATCAGTCTGTTTATAGTATAAACTTTATACATGTAATTTACAGGTTGTAGTTTTTGAGATTTTTGTTTTCGAATTATCTGAAATTGTTCAGCTGCCCATGAAGAACCCCATTGAAATTCAGAGCCACAAATTAATTTTACAGAAGCTTATCACCCTGTCACTGTAACTTTGTAAATCCACATGTTTTTGAAATTGTTTTGCCTGGAATGTTGAACATGTCATAAAGAGGAACCCTATCGAAATTCAAACTTATTATGCAAAATTATTGCCCTTGTCATCAAAACCGCAAAAACAAATCTGAGGGGCTTTAATGCTTATTTTCAGATCATAACATGCTACATGTATATCTTTTTTCCCTTCTTTCATAAAGCCTGGCAACAGTTTAGTTTTATATTTCAAACTTACAACTTTCCACTTGAATCAACTTATAAATACAAGCCATGTTTTTGAAGGAGGTTGAATATTCTCCAATAAGATTAATGAAGATATTAGAAAGGGCAAATAAACAAATATACATGTATGAGTTTCTATCAAAGTTTATTATATACAGATAAATCTAAAACAGCATCTGATTCCGTCCTCGTCTCAGGTTACACAAAGACCCCAATCACAGCTGGCACAATTTCTTATCATTCTATACTCTCTTATGGGGGGTTAAAGGTCACATCTGGTTTAATTATCATCACTGGCTTTATTATTTTGAAACCTGTGAATTTAAATTAAAAAGCTACTGTTTAGAAGTGCAGGAAATAATATTTTCAAATTCTTTTTAGACGGTTCTCCCATTCAGGTTTGTGGATATTTAAATTGAACAAAGAAATTATACCTACATTTTCAGGCCTAATCCAGAAGTAGTGTAGCCATGTTTTATTTTCTATAAAGGTGTTAGGAGAGGTTTTGATACCCAAACTTGATCTCTCACTTGCCATAATTCAACCCAATTTATAAAAGGAGGCTGTAGACCCCCCCCCCTTCCCCCCACACACACACTATCTGGCAATGCCACTGAACCTGACATTGTTCACTGTAATGCACTGTTATTTGCTTTATTTCTAAAATTATTCAACTCACAAAAATTGTTTTGCAGTGAAACTTAGTAAAAATTTAGATCTAATTTTTGTTTATGATTTATTTTATTTTCTTATTTTTATTTTTAGCAGTAATATTTATACATGAAGCTAATACTTTACATTTATGAGGATTGTTGTCCACATATCTCAATTTAAATTGATATTTTATTACATACCGTCTAGTGATTTTATGGGTTGGCTGGAATTTATGTTATTGATTAGGTCGATTGTGTTAATCTTTCATTTCAAACACACCTCTATCAAAAAATACTTAAGTAAGATTATCTCATAATCCACTGATCCAGATCAAGTGACTTTTCTATTTCACCTGCTGAGTCACAGATTTTGTCATGATTAGATTTACTTTTTCTAATCTTTAAATGAGGTTGGTAATAGACTTAGGATTTAATTATGTAACAGAATTGACAGTGTCAGATAGTTCATTTACTGTATTGAAAAAAGGCTATATATGACTTCTTTTCTTTTCAAGACCAGAAATTCTGTACCATATTCAAAATAAGCCATAATAAATCTACATGTAGTCATCAAAAATCCAAATACCATTTGCAGGTGCGTGCAGAAATTTGATTGGATTCCTCCTCCCACTGTCCATCAGGCTCTATCCCTCTCTCGATGGTTTTATGTTGCCTCTTATTATAATTGTTTGCTTGATGATAATGACTATTATAGAGAATTAATAGGCTACTGGTTGAAAAATTGCTCAGTAATAAACAGTAATTGTATTTCATAAATTGTGTTCTGTGCATATCCAGTTCAATAACCAAATACCATTGAAACAGTTCAGTCTAATCATTAACAGGCATATTCTCAAGAAAATGCAATTACTAGTTCAGAATTCTACTTTTTCACTTTCATGTAAATCATTTTTCTGAGAGTGTAATCATGTACACTTTTAGGTTCTTTTACCTTGTAAGATTGTGTTTCAGTTCAGACAATATTCTGTCAGTGACAAAATTTTGGATCCTTGTCATAATATAAATCCCCTTTAAACTGTACTGTACAAGTAGATTATTGACAAGTCATGTCAACAAATATACGGATACCTCAGCCAACAGTGGCGTCGATTCAGTTAGGTTGCCCTAGGGATCCACTTCCACCCCTTTTAACCCCAACTTTTCAAAAAAGATTTGAAGACCCCCCCCCCCCCAATATCCCACATCTGCCACTGTTTTCAGCCCTGGCAATATTCTCCCCTCACTTTGCTCAGTTAATGAGGTAGTGACAATTTTTATTTCACTGATATACGCAAAGCAAAATAAAGTAGAACATGACATTCCTACTCATAATAAGATTACTTGTTATATTGATTAGATTCAGTTAATTAAGGTGACTTGATCTATTAACCCGAGGGGCTTTCACCTGAAACACAATTAAAGGTAACTCTATCTACAGTGATATGGCTTGTGATTTTGTTAATGGTTGAAGCTAGTTAGTTAAGTAAAAGATAAATATTTATATTTGCTCACTGGTATAGTGTTTTATAATATAACAAATCAAAATATTTGTATGACTACAAAAACATTATAACTTCTTTAGAACATTTTATGGTGACAGAGTTTGCAATTTATTTTAGTCATTTTCATGAAATTGACAGTTGCAGTACACTTCAACAATTAAATATAGGACAAAATTTTGATATCAGTGTTTAACATTAAAAGCCATTGAAATTCCTGAGGTGGAAGATAAAGAAGTATTTTTTTATATTTAGTAAATTTCTCCGATACTTGTACTGGTAGATGAAAAAGCTTAATATGGATCAAAATCTGTCCCATGTAACTTACAAGAAAGTAATTTGTCTATAGCAGTTATACAATATGGCATACCATTTACAAGGGAGTAATTTGTAATTATAGATAAGATACATACTCATTAGTCTTCATGTATTATGTAATAGTTTGTGTATCAAATAACCCAAAAGTCTTTTGAAGTGTTATAATTGGATTATTAAGTTTCACGCAAAATTAATTATTTGATTACTTCCTTCTTGATGTATGTGTTCACATATTGGACGGTGATGTATATTATTCATTTTGTGTATTATTGGATATGTATATTATTTAATTTGTGTATTATTCATTTTGTGTATTGTTGTATGTGTATTATTCCTTTGTGTATTATTGGATTTGTGTATTATTCACTTTGTGTATTATTGGATTTTCCCATTATTCACTTTGTGTATTATTGGATTTTCCCATTATTCACTTTGTGTATTATTGGATTTGTGTATTTGTGCAAAGGAATAGATTTTGAATTTTAGTTTCTACAGAGTATGTTTATTGTGTTTAAATTATTTAAACCACCATCATTAGTCAAAGAAGCATTATCACCAAGAAAACAAATGTCTCAAATTGACATTTTTGTGGATAAATTTTACATTTCTCTTACTTTTTACAGGTTGATCCAAACAATCCTTATGGAGATAACCGAGAACGAGAGAAACATTTTTGTTATGATTTTTGTTATAATTCTACAAGTAAACCAGATACACCAGGATATGGATCTCAAGAACAGGTAAATCATTTTTGTATTTACACAACCATCATTTACACTAGAGAATATATACAGGAACCGCCATAGCTCAGTGGGTAAGATGCTGGCTCTCTAACTACATGTATGAGGTCTCAGTATTAGCTTGATAACGTTGAGAGAATACTCTTCGAAACGTCGCCCAAATAAATTAAGTAGCCATCTTTCCATAAGTATGTGTTTTTGTATATTGCTCTATCCAGTTACTAAATGCCTCTGAAAGATTATGAGGTCTCAGGTTTACTGAGAAAGTTACTCAGGATTTTATGGCATAATTCCCCCTTGTCAGTGGTGCAGGATGTGGGTCCTGACAAGAAACAGTGTCTAGTCATTAGGATGGAACAAAAAACCAAGGTCTTATGTACATATTGGTGTGCATGTAAAAGAACCACTGTGAATTGAAATCGAAGTAAGAGTAGGTAGTAGTGCTTCTGTCTGGGAAAAATTTCCTGAATAGCATACTGTACACCGATCGCCATTAGCCCAGTCCGTACAGAACAGTAGGACATTAAACCTCATTTCATATCATTTCATATAACCCATCTTCATTAGCCCAATCAAAGTTGAACAGTAGGAGGTTAAACCCCATTTCATTTCATTACAAAATGTAAATGCTTCCAACCCTATCAATATTCAGAATATTTTGATCATTAATGCTGCGTTATGTCCCAGCCCCAGGACGACTTTACTGCGTGATGACTGTAGGAGGAGGGCTGACATGTTTAATATGTGTTAGTTGGGTGTGTTAATATCATAGTCAATATTGTAAATCACATTCTGTGGCTGTTATTTTTATGTCATAACTTGTAATCTTTTCATAAAGATATTAGAAATTGATCCATATTTATTGAATATGTTGAAGATAATGATATATTGTACTACATGTATAACGTGATCTTGTAATGTTGTGTTGTCTTTGAAGGTGTGTTATACAATAGTATTTTGGAGAAATTGATATGATTTATATACAATACATGTAGTATACATGAAATAACAACCCTCTTTATTACAGATTTACATGTCTTCTAAATAATTGAAAACTAAGATTACAGATATATATATCAGGGGTCGTTGTGCATTTTTTGTTCGTAAATTTGTTTTTTGCTCTGATCGGTCATTGTGAACACTAGTTATTTCAAAATGAAAATGTGAACACAGTCTTATACAATTTATTGGAATACATGTATATGTATATATACATGTATATATTATGTAAAGAAATTTTAGAAAGGGCAATGAACCGGACGAAAGAGGGGGCACACTCAAGCAATAAAACATCTGCCAGTGTCAGTAATATACAGTAATTCTGTATTCCATAGAATTGTCCAATGCACATTCTGAAACCTTGAAATCCATATTCTCAGAAAGACTATTGTGGACATTCTAGAGTAGAAGAAAGATTTTGCAAAGTTTTCTCTAAAACATTGACTGGCCTCTTTTTAATCCAATTTAATGCAAGCTGGAAAATTAACTAGTTTTCAGATAATTTTCAATTTAAATTATGAATAATCAATTTGAGTACAATTTAGCTTAGATAGCTTGGCCGGATAAAGCTGTGAAAAGTTAGATATTGTCCAGATAAAGCTGTGACAAATTAGATATTTGAAAATGATGATCGATCATCTGCTTTAAGATCCTGATAGTCCTAAATTCAGGTTAGCTAATACTACTACTACATGTACCTGGTGCTTTAGCTTTAACGTCTGCATCCACAGAAATGATATCGCAGACAAGACATAAGAGAGCCTACCCTTCTTCCTATTTTTAGAATATGATTTTGCAAACTTTCCATTTGTGGCCTTAGGCCATGGAGTGTGGGTTTAGTGGGACGTTCTTCCCTTTATTTAATGCGGACATATATGCATCTCTTCTCTGGATTGGTAGATGTCATCTTTGTGGGTTTAGTGTTTATGTGCCAGACCGGTCTTATTGTGGCCTTCCCTTACTCCACTATCCTACTCTGCAGGTTTGGTATCTGTTTCGTTAGGTTACCATGAACCCAAGTCATTTTAACCTTTCAAGGTTTCAACATGTGAGAGAGTGACAGTAGCCAAATGATTAATTGAGTAATTGTTAAGTTGGTTGATGAAATGATTGACAGTTAGACTAATATGTATCTTATCATTTAGATCATTCTACTCTTCCAACAACTTCTTGTACTGTAAATTTTTTTCTCTATCGTTGTATCTGTATATTGTATTAATATGATCTTATACAAAATCTAGTAGTTATATTTAATAAGTAAAAACATAACAAAAATCTTGTGCATTCTATTTTGATATAGACTACATGTACCTGAGATTGATTACTAAAGGTGAGCGAGGTCTCGATCAAGTCATAGGGCCCCGATAATCTGTTAGATATTGAAGTACATATGCTGGAGGGTTTTTTTGCCTCAATAAACAAGTACTTCATCAAGTGTTTTTATGGTTGAGAAATGAAATGAAATAGGGTTTGAGGATGGGCATATGCCATGCAGTGTGCTACAAGGGAAATTTTGCCTGGACAGCAATGCTATGGCCTTCTCTTATTTGTGAATTCAAACTGTAAAGGGTTCTCTTTATGAGCAAGCTGATGTGCACACTTGACATTGGTTTATCATTCCATCCAAATAGCTAGACACTGTCTTTGTCAGGCCGTTATGGTTCAGACAAACTTGGACAGTTTCTTTGTTGATAGTCTATCACCTTATATCTGAATTTATTATTAGCCAAAGGAGTAGCCTACTCTTCTTCGGAATGGCTGAATGAAATTTGGTAGGAATAGCTGACCAAAATAAATGTTGGCTCCCATGAGTGAAAAGTAAGACAGGGACAGGGGCACCACAGAGGGGTAAATTTAAACATTTGTTACCTGTTCTATGAAAGCCTTTAATATATTTTGATAAAATTGTTTTGAATGTTTCTTATGTTGTGGTAGCACTAACACATACAGGTGGTGTGACAGACTACTTTAATTAGGTAAATTTATGTAATTTTGATTTCTGCAATGTGCATATAATCTTGACTGATACATGTATGGTAGGTGATTAGGGCCCTTTGGCCTCTTGATATGTAGAGGATTTTAATCCTCTCTTTGCAATGAGTAATTTGAATTAAGAATTTTCCAAAGAACATGGAGGAGCTTAAAAATTAAGTGAGTTCACTCATTAAATATATAAAAGCGTTCTTTGTTAGAACTACACGTAAAAGCAAATCAGTATGTGACGCGTCAAGTTCAAACTTTTATTAAGTTAATGAGTATGAATTTGTTGCACAGAGAAAAAAAGCTTGTTAATACTGAACTCATCAAGCATTGTCAATGTTAACAATTCTGTAAACATTTAATTAGATCTTGACAATAAAATATTTGTATTGACGACAACTATAATGGATGAATGATGATGTTAATTGTTAAATAAGTGTTAGAAAGTTTGTCAAAAAAATTTGTGGATCAGTAAACATTTTTCACCTGACAAGACAATGATTACGAACCAACAATGAATAGAGCTTTAAATATTGATCTTTATATCGATTTATCAAAGCTGGTGGCATTTCGACGGTATATGTGATTTATATTTTGTTAAAGATGAAAGGTATAATGATTAAAGTTCCAAGCGTCATGGTGCCTTGTCGACACCTTCAGGAAGTAAACTATCACAGAAACCTACAGTGCTACATGACCACACAATTATCTCTTTCTGTGTTATTAGGTTCAGACAGATAATTTCTAATTATAATTAATACATTCTTCGTGTTTTCTCCGTTCCCAGTGTTATCAATAGTACTATGCTACATTAGGTTTTAGATCAATTTTTATGAACCCTGCATTCCTTGGTATGTTTGTGACAAGTTTAGTGTTGTTACATGAATATCATTTCACAGTACATTAATATAACATCAAAGATAAAGATCTTAATGATCTATTGCTACGTGTATTACTTAGGGCACCACCCAAACCAATAAAATCACATGCAGGGGGGATTCTTCAGTCTTTTATCAATGCTTTATATGGTTCATATAAAAATACCAGTGAACATAGGTTTGTCTAAAACAGAGGATAAGTGATTGTCAATTAGCCGTCACTTATACATGTACCATAGTTCTTTGGATGGGGTAAAACACAAAGGTTTTGTGTATACCATTGGCAGCTGACATTTGTAAATCGAAATAAGAGTAGGTCATACATGGAGGGAGAGGGGGAGGGATTGAATCTGGGGATGGGGTAGAGATTTATTGGGGCAGGGGAGCTGGGGGATCCCTAGGAGCCTGATACATTTTCATGCTATATAGATTTTACTGAATTGAAGTGAAATTGAAGCCATTTAAAACCAGGAAAGGGAAGTTCAGGCACCGATTTAGAATATTAAACCTTGGTCGGTCTGTGTTATGTAGACCAGACATTATGCATGTTGGTTTATATAGGATATAGTAAAGTTGACTACTGCATGGTCCACAGAAATGTATACTAAACATATGTTAGTACTTTAACCAGCACATACTGACAATAAATGTTAACTAACGCACATTGAAGTGAAGAATATTCTATAATCGTATTACTTATCACCTACAAACCTTGTCATGTACAATTTCTTGTTCAAAATCGTAAAAAAAAATGACCAAACTGAAGCCATTGTAATAATATCCTCTCTTAATTCAGGGAGATGAAGCATCTAAGGACTTGCGACCAAAAAAAAACAAACACTTACAATTAAGCAACCCATAGTTCAATCAGAATTACCCACTGCCTTCAACACAGTGATCCTGCAGTCTATTTTTCTCTTGGTACCAGCTGTCAAATGTATCATAAAGAAAGTATTTGCCCTGTCATGCCCTCTCACTCAATATCATCTTCCTGATCATAACACTACACTTGAGAATACCAAATCTCTTATGACTAGGAAGACAGGGAACATTAAGGTTTAGTCTATCTGTCACAGTAGAAATCATGTCTGTAATTATGAAATTAATACAACCATAATATTTGGGCTTACATGTATCTGTTGG